AAATCTTTCAGTCAGTCATTTTTCTCAAATGTAGCCCTTTGTTGTCAAGAGTTACTCAGCTGCAAGGTTTTTCTATACCATTACATCATATTTGAATCGTAACGGTGCACTATACTTGTCTAAGCACTTAGAAAATTGCCGTCGAAAAATTCGGGATGATAATCGTAATTCGATGGCATTTTTCTTGTTTGATAATCGTAATTTCTTTATGGGATAATAGTAACTGAAAAATAATAAATGTGTCTTCCAGCTTGTCAATGGTATTTTGTGTGTAAAAACGGCAATGTCCAGTTAAACGATGACATTAACGCGCAAAATAAAAAATAATGAAGCAACTTACAGGTTAATATTTAGGACAAATTTACTTACATGTATATATATCTCGATTTATAACTGACAACAATATGCATAACCTTTTTATATAAACATGAACCTGTTAAAGATATGAAAATGAAGCAGCTGACGAGTCAGTTTTTGTGGTAAATAGATAATTTAAATTCTTTCAAAGTTTCAATGTTGTTTTCGCGTTTAGGATTTTTTTTGGAAGTGGGGAAAGGGGGGGTATTAGCATTATCCCATATCCCAAAAGTGCAATCCTTTCAAATGAAAGTCCCGTATACCAAATTTCAATATGCCATATGTTTTGCCTCAAATATTGCATATATCCAATCGACTTTTAAATCAATAAAAAGGGCAAGTTAACCTCCCCTATCTCAATATTCCCTATACCACGGGGTGGCTGTGGGCTACTTCCTATATAAATATATAAGTTATAACATAGATCAGATTTTTGGTCTTCGGCAATATATGAAAGGGGATATTTTTTATAAATTTCAGCAGCACGCCAGAAGTGACACCACCCCTTCCTCCGTGCCTTATACAGACCTCATTGATCATAAGATCGCTGTCAGTTTTGAGTTCCCTGTTGTTTATATTCGGGGATGGGTCCACAAATTATGTAAAAGGGAAATGGGGGGGGGGGGGGGGGTGCTATAAACTGAACGTTTATATTAAATTTCTGCGAGAAATGAACAAAATTTTCCATCAGTTACTTAACTGCATTATTGGATTTAACAGTTGATACTTTGATTGGTGGATATGAGTTTTCATTTTGCCCTTTTCCTTATATTTCAAAAGAAATACATATAGTTTAATTTTGGAGTGAAATGTTTCCCGGTTAAAACAGCTGTTCATATTTTTCAAGTGAATTCACTTTTGTTCTGGTTTACACTGATATTTTATATGATTTTAAAAATTAAAATTGTTTTAGGACGTTTCTTTAAACAAGGCGGATGGTAAAGGATCTAGAATAGTTACCAGTTTATTGTTACTATTGTTTATTGTTACTTGTGTTTATTGTTACTTGTGTTTATTGTTCCTTGCGTTTATTGTTCCTTGTGTTTATTGTTATTTGTATTTATTGTTACTTGCGTTTATTGTTCCTTGTGTTTATTGTTACTTGTGTTTATTGTTCCTTGTGTTTATTGTTCTTTGTGTTTATTGTTTTTATTAGCCTTAACTAAATGGCGCGTATAGTCTTGCGAAGCATTTGAAGGACTGAAAAAAAAACCACAAATATATATTATATATATATATGTGTATTGGTCTTTAGTAGGCATAATATGTAGATCATCACGGTCGAAACTGGTTTAATTACAAAGACTTTAATAGATAATCAAACAAATATTTTGTGCTTCAGAAAAATGCATGACAATTATGAAAGGCTAATTTTTGTTTTCATTTGATAGAAAAGTACTACGTTTATGGTAATTATGCAAGTACAAAAATGTTCTTTGTTACCTTCAATATTTTTTCTCTACAATAACTTCCATGCATATGTATGCAGCATATTTTTGATATACCAAGTATTTATGATTTCTTGAATCAGTTTGTTTCTGATATGGCGGAATATGCGCTATGATTTCTTAAAGTTGCAGTCATTCTTTGAATAAATATAGCTTGTAAGGTAATTTAAGGCCACATCAATTTGATTTCTTGATCTTCGGGCTTTTGGCCAAACTATTAAAGAACACAAATCCATGTTTGCCAATGAACTCCACATCACCATGTGCTTAACTCCATAACACACAAAGCATTCCAACTTTTCTCTACTCTTATATTATCATTAAACGTTTTAAGGATGTCATATTATTAGAATGCCAAACTAAATTGGTGTTGTTAAAATTTATAGTTATTTTCTGAGATATCGAAATGTCAGTGACGGTCATGAAGTAGCTAAGCACTTTTATAGTATTTATGGGCTACACAACTTTGTACACACTCAAAAAGGTGTGACATTTATTTTCAAGTCCGTATTTAAATAGAATACCAAACAATATTTCTTTTTAACTCTAAACATGAAGAGATCATGATGACATTTTTTTTTAAATTTTCTCCCATATTTTGTGACGGTCCTAGTTCCTGGAGTTTTCAGTATTTTAACATAGTTCGTGTTTCCCCATTTACAAATTTATTGAAGCTGTTCCCCCCTTCCAATTTTATGATATATACTAGTATGTAGCTGTTTACATTAGAACTGTTAATCATATATGCACAAAAACAAATGTCATAAGATGTGGGAACGTTTTCGTGATTAATTCATCACCATATTTTCATCATATGCTATTAGATAGACGTTTTTCGTGTCAATACCAATCAAACACTATCCAGTTACGATTATCTTCTTATTTATGAATACCGAAATTACGATTATCATTTTTGCGAGTTACGATTATCATTCCCGAATTTTTCGACGTTAATTTTCTTAGCGCTTAGACAATTATAGTGCAATATTGGGATTATCAGTTTAACACCAGTGCTCTTTAAACGTACTGATGTTAAAATAGTGATATTATTTCCGTGCTCACGACAACTGAAAACTGTCAACAGAAACGCTAGTGAACAAAAGTTTGACAGCTAAATACACAGAGCATTTGAGAGAATAAAACCCAAATGAAGACTAAGAAAACAACAAAAATTGTCCATGGTCAATTTTGCCTGAAGAAGTTGAAACACTAGGTTAAGCAAAATCTGTTGTAATTTAATTCGTAATCGCATGCGTTAAAATTTCTTTACTATGAACACGTAACTTACATATTCAAGATATGCAAGAAGAAGCACTGTATTAACTCTGTAGAGTTCGTGTTGTACTGTATTTATTTGTATTTTTATTTTGAACATTGTGTTTTCCGTTTTTTTATATATATATATCATTTATATACAAGTTGTTTGTGTCCCTTGGTTGGCGTCTTCCATTTTGTCTATATGACCGCATAACATAATATATATATAATTTCACAAGTAATTTCAATTCTCGACTGTATTTGATTTATGAAAAATGTACTATACCTGTACAAGTAGCGAAATACACTAAAATTTTAAAAGTCATTCCTCTAGATCAAATTGATAAATTAATAAAGAACGAAATATAGTTATATGAATGATGTGTTGCATTTCTTAATATTTAACGAAAAAAACTCTATAATCAGTCTGCACTGTATACTTAAGTAAACATAATTGGAACCATAGTATTGTTTTTTTAATTGACTTTCTTCTCGAAATCAATACAGAATATCATTTATATTCAGCTAGAATAAATATTTAAAATAATATTTGTTATTGACTAACTTCAAACACCAAAAAGAAAGAAATAAGATTAAGTTAAGACTGCTAATTTGAAAAAAAATCATTAGCAGCAGTGTTAATGTCTCGCATATTTTTATCTTTGGGAAAGAACTTAAAGCAAGGAAAAATATTTTTTTCATGATCGAATTTCAAAATTACGATGAAGTCATCGGTTGTGACAATAACGGACATGTCAATTGTTGTATGAACTGTGAATGACTAAGACAAACTTTCAGTTTTATTAAAAGTCCATCCCCCCCTTAATCCCCCCCCCCCCCCCACAAAAAAAAAGAAAAAAAAAGGAGTAATATTTAAAAAAAAAACGGTTTAGAGATTAAGGAACGGAGAAAAGTTTGCTTATTAATTTTTAACCCAATGAACAGATTCGACAGAAGCAATGGAAGTGAATCATTCAGTGTAAGATTGTAACTTGTAATATGAAGATGATATGTATATATATGAATCAAATGGCTTTTTCATAAGTATTTTTTATTTCAGCGGTATATGAAAAATTGTAAATATATAAAGTATTCTTATTTCACAATCTAGGTTCAGAAGGTCAAATGCATGTGAATAAACACAAATCTTACAAATACATTTTAATGTTGCTTCTTCGATCCCACTTCAATTACATTTTCTTGCGATTGCAATTTTTTTCATTACTTAAATACACAAAAATCAATACATGTTAAACGATTTATTGTTTCATGCTTTTGTTGCCGTATCCAAGTTCCGCGCCACCACTCACTGATATAGACATGCCCGACCGATGTCTTGTAATTTTCCAAATCGACCCATTAGGGGACGACCATTTGATATTCTGGGGGGGGGGGGGGGGGGGGGGCAGGAGGATTTGTTGTGGATCGGTTATTTATTTTTGTAAACTAAGAGGACAGATTATCTATTTTCTGCACTATTGAAGCAAGATTTTTCATTTTCATGAAAGCAAGGGACTGATTATTTATTTTCACAACTATATTTATAATATTCGAAAACATACAATTTTTAAATTATTTGTTTATTATAAATAATTCATGTATAGTCAAGTCATTATGTACCATTTAATCAGCGGAGCGAGGCAAAATTTTTTTTTGAAGGGTTTTTGAAACGTTGAAGGCCCAAGAAGCTATAGAACAAATGATGCAAAATCATGCCTTCTGGGTGTTCCCCAGACCCTTTCTTAAACTGAAAATGCAAGTTCTGTTTTAATAATTTTATGACAATATTTTGGTCTCAAAGCAAAATCACGTTATAGATTCAGTGTAAGACTTAAGTTTCTAGGAACAACATCAAAAGACAAATATGCATGATATTAAAAGCAAAAATGTAATTCACATAGTTAAGTCTGTGGCTGCTGTGTTTTTTTAAACTCATGATCAAGTTAATAATAAAATTACTAAATTACAAAATGAATGCAACACTAACAGAATACAGAAGGGCAATCAATGAACAAAAGACAAATAAATAAGAAATATTGATCCCGAAAAATCAGGGGCTACGTCTGAGGGAGAACAGAACTTGCTTCTTGCAAGGCACTCACGGTGAACACAATTTGATATGGAGACAAGCGTTTGGTTTTGAAATTTCCTACATGAGGCATTTGTCTCAATGTAGTTACGGCCCTGATTTAATAAAAGTGAGGTAAGTGTTCCTGAGACAATTAACCTCAAGTTAAATGAAACCAATTTTCTGACATTTCAAGTATATTTAAATAATATTTATACTTTTATTATTAAAAGATATGGGAAGTGTTTCCCGATTTTTTTTTTGGAAAAAAGATTAATTTATGACTGAGAATCTGGTGCCATCTCATACTTTCGATTAGACCTGCTGAGTTATTTATTTTCAATACATTGCAAGTCAGGTCATTTATTTTCAAACTACCACAGAACAAACCATTTATTTTTGTGATTATCAAGGCTGAGTTATTTATTTTCAAAATCCTCCTGCCCCCCCAGAATATCAAATGGTCGTCCCCTTACCAGAAAAAAACTCCAAAATGTTTGCATTTGTTTCACACTTTCATAAAAAATTATGCTTAATTTGTTTTGTTAATGAAGACATTTCCTTCGTTTACATATTCAAATTTTTCATAGTGGTCCCCTCATACAGTCCATGAAACGTATTCCAGGTAAAATTTCTCTATATGTATACATTTGTACATGTTTATTACATATAGTTATATTTTAAACATACTTTTGGCAGGAAACTATAAGTATATACTAGTACACATAATACGTATCATGTAAAATATCAACCATGACGGCTTTGTGGCAAAAAAGAGCTTTGAAAACCTTCTATTGGAAGAAATTTTGGCCCTTGCACCACGTCTAAGGGCAGAGATATTGACGAACAGAACGTTTGATAGGAGTTATCGTTCTTTTCCTTTACAAAGTGTCAGTGCCCGTTTAGAAACGTTTAAATACTGTATATTCTCTTTACTATAAGAGACAATCGGAAGATACCAAAAGAATATTCCAACTCTTTGGTATCTTCCGATTGTCTCTCATAGTACATAGAATATGCAGTATTCAAACGTTTCTAAACGAGCACAGACACTTTGAGTGTTAAAGTTAAAGTCAAACTGATAACGTCATGGCAAAAAACGAAATACGAACAAAAGACAAACTACAGTATACAAAAATCAACATAGAAAACTAAAGACTGAGTGATCCCAGGTGCTACGGAAGGCTAATCAGATCATGTTTCACATGTTGCACCTGTCGTGTTGCTAATGTAAGAAAAAGTTCGGCAACATGTCTCATTTGCTGATGTCACATTCGAAGTAAGAGGACGGATTGTGTTTACGACAAATGGAGCATATCCGTCGTCATATGTTTACCTAATAATACAGCATTTTATAAACAGAAAAATTACATAAAATGACCATATCAATGACATATCATGTCAACATAAAGTGTGGACTACAGGGCTTGTGACACCTGAGAAGACCAGTAGTTGTTTCGATCCAGATTTAAAAAAAAACTCATCAAACATACCAGGCTTATAATTTGTTACGCCAGACAATGAGTTCTCATTCTTTAAGAATATCAAATCGATTCAGCTTAAAAAAATTATCAAAAGTACCATTCATTCAATGATGCATGCTAAGGAATGAACGAAAGAAAACCACTGTTTTCCATTTTTTTAGTACCATAAATTCTTGCAAATAACTTCTAAATGCCAAAAACTGAAAACAACATTTTATAAATTTCATTCGTCCAAAGCTCTTTTCTGGATTTACCTTCATCAGGAACCCAAATGTTTAAAAATCACCCTTCTGTTTGCTTCAATTTCATATAAGTTCTCATCTGAACGAAAAAAAAAAAAAACAAATTAATGTCTAGATGGACGAATAATAAGAAATTTTGCCAATTAATACCATACATTTAAATTTGTACAAATCTCTAGAGAGATATCCTGTATAATAAACTCCCTTGCATTAATATTTCTTACTGCACAACAGATGGACAAATCTTAGAATTTTGAACTTAAAATAGGTGGCAATAATGAAGGTTCCAACTCCCTCTGCCAAAGTTATCCATAGACTGTTTTGACTTTTGTTTCAAGGTCCTTTTTGGTCATGTTGCTCGTAAAGTATTTATACATCCCTGCTTTCAATATTTTGGATTCAAGCGTTCCCTGACGAAAGTAAATACAGAAAAGCGCTTCAGATACACCAAATGTATATAATGTTATTTTCATTATTGTGTTGAAAAGTTATTATGAGTAAAAATGTGTTACAAGCCTCCCCATGATCGATCATTTTAGCATTTTCCGTTGGTTGTCCTTTTCTTATGTGATGCCATACTTTATTCATCTTTTTTTTAAAATACAAATGTAGATATGAATGTTTGAATCATAAGCAGATATATTCCTATTATAAACTCATATTCAATATGTTTTAAAAGTAAGCTTCTCATATATATGTACTACTATCCTTTCAGAAAACATATTGCATAATTTTTTTATGAGTATACAGCACACTATATAAATAAGGAACGGTTTCATGATGTCGTCGGTCTCATATTTTTGTTTGCATAGTTTAATTCAGCACCAGCACTCAAATTAATTTCGATTCCTGTGCAGAATGTTGCGTCAGCAGCTAAAAATAAACATGCGTGTCCAACTTCCTGTATTGTACCAAATCGTCCCAATAACTGAAAAAGACAATCATTATAAATAAATCAAAACAACGATTAAAATTTCTAGGTATACTCAAATCATACCCAGCAGACAAAAAGCACTGGCTGTCTTTCGGTTGGTCTTTCTTCTACGTTTTTTCTTGTGATTTTTTTCTGGATCGCATCACTTTATTTACGGAAAGCATAACTGATTATAAATCTTTCAAGTTTTCGAATCGCAACTTAATGCAAGATCTCGTTGGACGTGTTTTTTTTTTTACATAAGTATGTGGAATAATATGCCTCCCTAATGTGCGATAATATAGTTATAATATACAGTTGTCTACTTGCGGGTGCTGTACTGAATACTAGTACATATATATTATAGTATTACTATTTTTCGAATTTTGATTTATATATATATATGTATCTCCAGCGCTTGACCTTAAATATACAGCGCTAGACTTTACATCATCAGCACTTTCCTTTAAAAACCACAACTCGTTATCTGTGCGAGACCAACAGAGCTCCGTAGTTTATCCAACCAACTCACGATCTAAATAAAGTTCAAATGTCCATGCATTGATAATTAAGTTTCTAAGTTTCTTTTTGTAGTTTTATAGTATCAAAGCGTTGATAATCAAAACTCAAACTTACATTAGAGCATTGGGATAAATATAAAAGAAACTTAATGTACGTAACAATATAACATTTTTACCTGATTATTCTCAAAACCTTTCTTTACTTCCTCGGATTCTGGGCAGGTTTTCAAATAACTATCAAACAATGGAGTCCATATATTGGAAGGGGATATACTGAAAAATAGAAAAGGTAGACATAAGGAGGCTACAACGCAATACTATTATAACGATATCATATGAATATAAAACCGAAACCTTCCGAAAATAAATGAACAAACATTAAATCGTAAGCAAACGTTATTCTAGTCTTTAAAGCTGCAATGAAATTGTACCGAGAATGCAAAAAATAAACAAAAATCCATCAAAGATACCAAGCTTAAAATCTTTTTTTTTAAAAGACTCATCAGTGGACGTTCGAAAAAAAATATTATAAAAGGCCAAGTCAAGTACGCAGTTATAAAGCATTTGGGACCCGACATTCGGAGAACTTTTCCTATGGTAGAAAATCCTTAGTATTTCGAACAATTGTATAAACAGTTAATTTATAAATATGACCATATCAATACAGAGCTGTTTTCTATTATTGATTGTTATACGACTGTCATGAAATAAGAAAGTTTTTGTTCAACTATTTAACATTCACCTACCTGTTTACTCGAACATTATACTTTGCTTCATCAATTGCTAGAGCCTTTGTCATCGAAGTGATTGCTCCCTAAAATATTTTGTTTAGTTGGTTTAATATTCATGTATTTTGCGCTTTGATTTAGTCAAATATGTTCTGTTTTAAGCGCTTTTTTCAATGCTTTTTAGAATTATCCAGGGGAGGAAGCCATACAACTTTATCATAATGTTGTAATGTATAAATTGCGCTCCGGAAATAAACAAACGTATAAGAATCCAATAACTACAATGTGTTACACTCTTCTTTGAAAAGTTTTCTTTAGGACCATTCATATTTATCGTAACGGTGACAGGTGTTTTGAGATGATTGATCTTTCCCTATAATATCCAGTGCCAAAAAATGAAAAGCATACTTAGGACGATAAAAAATTTAAAATGCATCAAATATGTAGGTTCTGGAAAGTGTTTCGATCGGGATGAACGACGGGAAAATTGGAATTGTCACTTGAAATAGAAGGTACATGTATATTGGATGAGGACAGAAGTCAACCAACGAACCCCTGGCAGACTTGTTGCAAGGGTCCTATAATGTACAGAAGCGTGGAACTCTTCAAACACCAGTGGTAATTTGAATTATAATCACCATTCATATCGCATTTGCCTGCTTATTTATACATCCCGTATATCCAAACGGACTACTCACAGAATGCATGATTTTACTACCTTCCGGGAGAAGTCCCACGTGTTCATATTTCTATACCAAGTCAACCCTTGTTTCAAAACGTTTTGAAGAAAAACTAAGAATTGAAAAAAAAAATGTTTGTATTGTAAATATTGTAGAGTGGGTGGCGCATATTCGCCTTGGACACATTTTCGCCGTTTTGCTATTTTTTCTGTAAAATTTGTCTGCCTTTACCCAATACTTGCGTAAATAGATGGTAAGGGCTGTTTGTAATGTTACAACTGTTGATATTCATCTTTACCCCATTTCCAAGGTTATTCGCACATATTGAGAAATACGCAGGTGTTTTTAAATGATTTTGGCAATTATGTAAGATTTATATGGCAATCATGCGTAGTCTTAAAGTAAATATTTGTGAGAAAAATCGTATAGGAATGATCTCTCAAGCGGCTAATTCATGTAATTGCAAACATTCGTTTTTATAATATACCAGGATAAAAAGGATGGTCATATCATACATTGCGGCGAAAATGTGTCCCCCATGGTACACGAACAACTTGATTGCCTCTTGAGTTTGCGTTCGTTTTTAGAACAATTAACCAATGTTTTGAAGATAATTTCTTTATCAAACATTTTTTTCATTTAGTTAAATTTCTGAAACCTTCATAAAAAATTCCAAATATTCGAATGTAGGTCGGATGTAAGTGGAAATGAACGAATTATGCGGCGAATATGGGTCTCTCACTCTACATTCCGTAAAATGTTATTTACCTTAGTTGCACAATATGTGACTGCTTGACCCTGGCCAATGTTACCAACCAAACTACTTATGTTTATTATACTTCCTGCAGTTTTTCGTAAATGAGGGAGCGAATACTGAAATGAATTGGTTGAATAGTGTCAATTTCAAAAGTGTTAATTTTTAGGGTCTTGTAATTGTCTGAAATTTTATCACGGTTGTTAGAAAGCAATGATACCGTATTAATTTAAAAATTCATAAAAAAAGTTGCATAATAATTCAATATTTATTTTCGAGACGTGTTAACACTTTTTAAAAAACAATTATATACTCATGCAATACGAAGAAAACAAAATAAAATTACCTTAGAAAATAGGAAGTAGCTAACAACATTCAGGTCAATAAGTTTTCTAAAATCTTCTGCCGAAAACTCATCAATAGGGTGTGGTGGAGGATCTGAATATATTTAAAAACAATTACAAATTGAAAATTAAAAACAAATATATAATTTCATTCATTAGCAAAAACGTTTTGTTTTCACATTATCTTCGAAAATTCGAGATGGTTGACTGTTATGGAATATCTGTTTCATAGATTAAGACAAGTATGTTCTAACTATCCAGACAGGATCCCCTTCTCTTTTCCTCGAATGTGACACTTATCATCGAATTCGTACATACATGGGCAACACGACGGATGCCACATGTGGAGCAGAATCTGCTTATCCTTCAAAAGCACATGAGAGCGACTCCGGTTTTATGGGGTTAGTGTTGCTCAGTCTTTTGTTTTCTATGTTGTGTTTTGTATACTGTAGATTGTCTTTTCGTCGTTTTTCGTTTTTTTTTGCCATGGCGCTATCAGTTTGTCTTCAACTTATGAGTTTGAAAATCCCATTGGTATCTTCTGCCTCTCTGTTATAGTAAAAACAATATGAAGTATTCAAACATTTCTAAATGGACACTGACAATATGAAAATGAAAGGGACGTTCATTCCGATCAAAAGTTCTGCTCATCGACAACTCTGCTCTTTAATGATTTACAAGGGCCAAATTGTATTTTATTGAAATCTTTTCAACGTTCTTTTTTGTCACAAAGCACTGTCCTGATGATATTTTACACGAAACGTATTAACCGTATATGGGCGTTTTTCAATAAAAGTGTGAATTTCAGACCTAAAAAAATGGAAAATCAACTCGTCTAAAATTTTATTTCAAGAGTAATTTTGAATACCTCTATTATAGACCTGTTTGTAAATAAAAAGTGCAATCTTAAATACTCTTTAAAATGATATTATTTTCATAATTTATGTACTGTTTCGTAGGGGACATTTGTCCACTACGAAACTGCTTCTAAACGCACATCTTATTGCATTTTAATGTCTCCTATAGACATTCCAGTTTGTTTTACTTTATATACTAGAAAGATCTCATTTTTTTCTGAATTGGAGAACCATTTTTTATCGATAAAGATTAGACAGTACTTCACATATGAAGGTACAACTCATGTTACGCAGTGAACATTTTGATGAGTTTCGTAGTTGACAAAACCGTTTCGTAGTGGACAAAAAGTTTCGTAGTTGACATCAACCCTATTCTATGTTGATAAAAACATACTGAAAATTACTTGAAACTAACCCTTGTTAATTGTTTTGCACGAATATAATTGAAAAAAGAGTAAAAAACGTCTGCATGGTAGTGGTAGTGTCCACTACGAAACGTTTTTCTCCCATACTTGTTTCGTAGGTGACCGTTTCGTAGTGGACATATTCACATGTTTTATTTTTTCCCCACAATCCCTATACTGCAATAGTAACAAGAATGATTCTATTCATCAAAGCACGTACTAAGCTGTACACTGATATTTTTTTCATAATTTTAAAACCAGATACTGAAGGAGATTTGACCCGTTTCGTAGTGGACATTAACAAAAATACGGTATCACTCTGGTCCATTTGATGTGCTCAAGTTTTTTTGCCAACAATTTAACTGCCGTTATAAAAGCATCACTTCTTTTGTAAGACCCTAATGTTTATATCTCTTGCAAACATTGATTTTATAAAACTGTTTATTAGCAAAATTTAATGACTTCGTTTCGTAGTGGACATTTTGTCAGGAATGTCAAGGGACACACCTTCTAAAATTAAAAATCCTTTGTCAAAAACTGTTTAATAAAATATTTTGGCTCTAAACATACTTTTGAATAATTAAAGAACTTATATTAAGTAAAAATAACATTTATTTCTACCTTTTTTTACAATATTTTAGAGTATGAATGTTGAACAGGAGGTCTAGGGACATGCCATTTTGGTTATTTTGAACCATTCAGGAATCAATATCTTATTAATCCCTCTAAAAATAGTATGTTTCTTTGCTTACAAATGTTAAATCTAATTCAATGTATTAACTGTACAAAAAAATACTTGTAAAGATCAAACACATTTTTTTAAAAGTAGCTGGGACAAGAAATCACGTTTTTATTGAAAAACGCCCATATACATATAGTCGCCTACCAAAAGTATGTTTTAATGCGATCTGAAATCCAAGATGTCTGAAATAAGTGTAAAATAGAATTATATGTAATAAACATTTAGTCCTGGAATATGTTTCAGACCAGACTGAAAACTTTGGAGAATTTCTCAAGCCCAACGTGCCGTGCTCCTGGACATTTTATTTCTAACTAGAGTGAACTATAGCTAGTATTTAAAAAAAATTGAGATTTTAGTGGCGATCTTTTGCTGCAGGAGTCAGTTTCACCAAAAACTTACGATCAAGATTGATCGCATGAACAATTCAGTACACTTACGATCAATCTTAATCGTAAGTTTTTTGTTAAACCGACTCCTGAACATTACTCATTATAGAACTTTTACGTATAAAAAGCATGTGCACAACTAGTTTTAACACTATATTAATATTGTGAATGCATGATATTTGCTTGTCAATTCAAACTTTTAGGTACAGGGCCCGTACATTCAACCTGCTGTGAGTTAATTAAAACAACTATCGACACATACATATGTATCGCATGTGTAACATGAAAAATATGCATAAGTATCAAAATCAATGGACCATGACTGAGGGGAGGGGCGAAATAACCTCCATTAAAATGGCATGTTCTAATTTTAATACAATTGTCTATCAATTATTATTAGCTTTAATTAGTGTCATGAAAGATAACATCAACTGGTCTCAACTGAATGGCAAAATACTTACGTGTTCCAACATTATTGATTAAACAGTCTAGTCTACCATACTTTTCAATTGTCTTCTCAACAATGTTCTGTTAAAAAAAATATCAATGACAAATTACAATAATTACAATCATACGTTATGATATATTATACAAAGATAAAACGACGACAATTTTATATGGAAATGGTAAACCAAACCAGTTTTAAACCAAACAATAAAACATTCAAAATCCGAAACCTAAACTGGTTGTTTCACTGCAACAATTTTACCCGTAGTCTCATCAAATTATCTGTCCATGTTCGTTTCTGTATTTAGTACATATGTAAACATCTTACCTTGATGTCAGGTTCTTTCGTGACGTCACCATATATGAACCATGACTCTCCTGGTCCCCTAGAATTCAAATCTCTTTCTGTATGTTTACCTTCTTCATCTGTGAATAAAAGTGTCTTTTGTCAATACTGAGGTCATTCGTGTCATATCATGAATACTCCATCATTATAGGAATGTATGAATAACAGCAAACGGACGATACTCTTTGGCAAGGGTTTTACTGCCGAATGGGAGAAGTGATGACTATATTTCTATATTCCCTATCTACCCATCGGGTGACATTGTTATTCAATTATATTATCATTATTATATATAAAATATTTCAAATAAGAAAACAAAAGTTTCCTGTCGATGATATGACAAATTTTAATTCAATATTGTGCGAAGTTTCTTTTTACATATTTGTACTAGTCATTTTTTTTAAAACAATATTTCAAGTACTGAGCATATCCGATAATAAAAATGTGGTGATTACTCTGCTTCAGGTCAAGTTGTAATGCAATAGTAGCACGAACGATACTTTGAAATATATATGTGGTACTATATACACCGTATAAAGATTATTGTTCCAAAATTAAGGAATTATATTGCACTGGTAGTTTATCATATTGCGCTCGCATGCTTGGACATAATCATAAAATGCTGGGGACAATGTACCTATTGCAGTAGCCCTGATATACCCATCATCACGTAGCAAGGTTTATATTTATCTCACCCAAAATCACATCTTCCAAGCAAGAACCAAAGCTCATAACCTCGCAGGACTTCGGGAAAGTTCGGAGACACGACAACCTTGCTTCGGAAGTTGCCCAAAACCATCACCGTGGTACACCACCTGCACACTATGGCAAGCCGTTTTACTATTTATTCTAACTTCAAGATATCTAATAAACTTTATAAGATATCTCATATAGTTTATAAGATATCTTATATACTTTATAAGATATCTTATATAGTTTATAAGATATCTTATATAGTTTATAAGATATCTCATATAATTTATAAGATATCTCATATAATTTTCTTTATAAGATATCTTATAAACTTTAAGTTTCTAAAGTTTATAAGATATCTTATAAAGTATATAAGATGTCTTATAAAGTTTATAAGATATCTTATAAAAACTGGATTATATAAGATATCGTATTTATTATCTGAGATATCTTATATATTATATGAGATATCTTGAAGTTAGACTAAATAGTAAAACGGCTTGCCATAGCACACACATACACAAGATGGTCGGTTCCTAAATTTATTGTAAAATATATTAAAATCAATCGATTAAGTACTCAATTTGATAAAAGTGAGCTTAGAAACAAAATTAAAAACCACCACCTTTATAAATCACTTGCGAATAATGATTTATTTTGCTTGCCGTAAAATACTTCGTTTACAAACATATCATGCATATCGCGGATTTATATATAGCTCAGCAGCTCACGCAAGGTGTTTACAAAGAAGTATAGAATCCTTACCATCATTTGAACAGAAAGCAACCTGTGCACCATTTTCAACTGAAAAATTAAAAAAAACATAAGAATAAATTATAATGCCATATTAACCGAATATCCCAAGGTAGGCAGATACTATTTGAAAATGACCGTTCATAATTTGTTTCGTCGATGCAAGAACCGTAGAAATTGTTTTCAATAAAATTACAAACTGAACCTACCGAAGACCTCCACACATCCTTTGCCAATTCCTCTAGATCCTCCTGTCACCAAAGTTATCTTGTCTTTATAACGAAGCCCTGACATACTTGAATAATTAAATTTAGAAAATATGGAAACTCATCATGATCATAATTGCAATATTTATCAAATTATTAAATTCGAACTTTCTTGATGGGATGAATTTAATCGACATCAGACAGGGGAAAGATGGAAAAGAAGGAATCATTTATCTGCACCATAGACCCGATCTTATTGTAATATTTACGTATAATTAAAAAGACATCAAAAATACGACCCGACATTTTTAAAAGGAATTAATATGACTATATATATGCAGTTTCAATATATATATTGTCGACAATGCAGACAGATCTTCGATATTGACCAAAACGTGACTGACTTTTGTACCTATATTTATATGAAAGCTGTGTAGTTCGCTCTTTCAACCTATTTATTTGTATTTAAAAGTTGGCATTTCAAGACTACAGACCAATAAGAAACCTTTTTTAAAAGCTGTGTGTGACTCGCATGTGTTATTTTCATGGTATCAATATTCAGAAAACCCGATATTTGGTTCAGATCATGTTAACTTGTCTTACAATGGTTGGTCATGAATAATGGATACCCTTTAAGAAATGGGACCGAGGCGGTTTTGGTTGTTTATGCCGTAAAAAAAGTTTTCGATTTTTTCATTTTCTTATAACTTAATTTTGGATGTAACACGTCATCTGATTGGTTGTAAGTTTTTTTCTATCAGCTCATAGACATAATTTTGACATGTGACCGTGACGTCATCAACGTTTTTTCATTATTTATTCCTTAAAAATGGAATTTAGAATTAAATTATAAGGAATGACTGTACTATTTTTTCTGTCTATTCGAAATAACCTCAAAAATGTGGTGCACACTTTTAAATAACCTGCTACGCGTGTTATTCAGTGTGCACCACATTTTTTATGTTATTTCTTCATAGACAGAAAAAATATTACAGTCATTCCTTAAATAAATAAAAGGAGATGTGGGGTGTTTGTCTAAAAGGCAGTAACCTAAGAACATACACAAAAGAGAAAAGACATCTAGAGATCAACATAGGGTCTTCAACAATAGACAGGGGCCTCGGTGGCCGAGTGGTCTAAGTAGTTACTACTGTAATCACTAGCCAGTCAACACTGAGGTTGTGAGTTCGAACCCCGCTCGTGCGGATGCACTCGACTCCAATCTTAATTAACGAGGATTGTCAGTTTTCCTATCGAAGGTCGGTGGTTTTCTCCGGGCACTCCGGCTTCCTCCACCAATAAAAACTTGCCGCCACGAAATAGCCCCAAAGCGGTGCTTAAAAGTGGCGTTAAAAATACAAAAAATCAAATCAAATCAACAATAGATAGGTTTCTATACAATGTTTACTTCTTAAATAACTCCTGGTTTTTAAACAGATGTTAACTAATCCAAAAAGAAACTATCAAAGATCTGTATTAAATCAAATTTTCACAAAATGACAAAACATTGAAATATAATAATGATTACAACCACTGAATGATCACCTCACTAATGGCAGCCACATTAACATATTGAGAGGTAAAACTAGTATTTGAGGTCTCAATTCTCGTCCTTTAATCTCAGTCTGTCGAAATCAACGACATAAGATACATTAAAGAGCGTACAATAAAAAAAAGTAAAAAAAAAGTACAATAACTCTATCTGTAACTCCGGTATATAAGATAACAAAAACACACGTACAAGTAATATAACAATAACAACCTCGACCACAACATTCTCACATTTACTGAAACCCAGCTCAAAGTACTTAATCTGCTAATACGAAATCATTCATGCCTTCCTATACTCTAATATCGGTGGTTGTAGTGTAAAATTAATACAGCAACGTTTATAAAATTATTGGAAGTGGTCATTGTCCAAACTCTTCATTGATCCTAATATTGATGAAATTTCGAATCAAATGCCTGCATTGAAAGGTTCTTTTATTCGTACTGCAGAAAAGTACCATATTTGAAATAAGCTTGCTAGACTTCAAATATATTTTCCTTGAGTAGACGTTTAACTTAAGCTGTAAACTATTTTACTTATAATTTGTAAATTAATTTTAATAGGGAATATAAATTGCTGACCATTTTAGTGAAATAAAGCGGGATGTCAGTTTTGTCAAATGTAAACGACAAGCAGGGTTGCCTGGTATATAGAAATATGATCACCTTTGGTCTAAAGTGGCACGTCCGTTTTGGCTGTGCGAGAAATACAAATACGCAGTCACGTCCAATTTTAATAAGGATGTTAAATCTGATGCTTCGTGAAGAGCGACTGCCCCTCTCTCTGCACGTTAAAGAACACATTGCAACAATCCTCCGAGGGGTCCGCAGATGGCATGTTGCAAGGTAAAATATCTGCCCCTATCCAACTGTGCCAGTGGCAGTCCAAATTTCACGCCCATAATTCAGATCGACCTTCTTTGTAGAAACCTACCTTGCAGCATCTGTCTGTGTAACTGATTAATGTGTTCTTCTCAATCAATCAATCAATCAATCAAACAAAATCAATTGAATGAAGTTCTGGTAAACCTAATTTAGTTGTTTCTGTATTTTCATGCGCGGAAACATTCAATAGACGTCAATTTATATTGTATGATTAATTATGAGTTATGAGTACATGCATGTATTACAGACTTTCATGTTGCATCTTCAAAATACACGAAGTAGGTGTAATCAGTTAGATATGTTAAACGATTAATCTAGTAACTTAAAAGATTAATGAGTTAACTTCTAATTATAAAAAGAATACACACTTGCTCAAAAAAATACTTAATAGTTGATAACGCCAGTAAAGCTGTGTGAAAAAGTTTATTTAGACATGTAACATGTAATCTTATACCTGTGTTTGTAGTTCACCCATTAGAAATTCATAAACCTTTGATGTTTTTTTTTTATTTTGTTATAAGGTAGCAACCATTTAACTTCAAAAGGGGAGACGGGGGTTATAGTTTTTTGCCTAAGTCAGACATTTTTTTGCGCAAAGCGAGAACATTTTTTTTAGTTTTTCAACGCTATCAATCAAATTATTTATTTTCAAAATTTAACACTTCAAGGAATGGGGAAAATATGGATTCAGAATATTTTTTTTTGTCATCTGCTTGACCACAAACTTTTTTTTCATCAAATTTGGGATGAGAATAATTTTTGGGAAAAAAACATAACCCCCCCCCCCCCCTTTTGAAGTTAAATGGTCGTTCCTTAATGCTTGGTTATTGCCTACACATTTCATTTCATATCTTTCAAAAAAAAACCGCCATACATATATAATACCTTATCAGAGCCTATAAAGGGGGGGAAGGGTTCGACAATTTGATATTCTGGATTGGTTGGAGGATTTTTTGTTTGCGGATAGAATATTCATTTACACCTGTTTCTAGGGCTGATTTTTTTTTCGAGTTACCGCACAATTATTTCTTGCATTTTGCAATATTATTTATTTGAAGTTTTTAGCAGGCCAGGATACTTGTTTCTAAAGTATCCCCCACACCCGACAATCAAATGGTCGTCCACTTATGAAAGGAAAAAGTCAAGGCATCGGGATTCGTCGGTTCTGTGACATTTTTTCTGATCTCATTTTCAATATTTATTCCTTTTTACCAACTGGTTTAAAACATTTCAAGACAGCAATCAAAACTTGGGATAACTGATTTGGTCAAAAATGTAAATTTGTGTTCGGACACAATTTCTATTAAAAGAGAGTGAACGGTGGGGAAAAGGTAAACTCTAATGTATTCTAAAATCATAAGTTTAATAAAAACAGACAACATAAGGATTGAAACGTAGAACTAATTATTTTCATTTTTAAAAACACCCCTTTCAACTCAAGAAATAATGAGAAAAAAGTGTACTTTCTCTAAGGTACTTCTAACAATCAAAGTGATTGAAATCACTGATTGAAAGATTGGAGGACTTGTGACCATAATTTAAAATCATATTCTTAGGTATTGTGGTGACCCCATCCCCCCCCCCTCCCCCCAAAAAACCCAAAACAAAACAAACAAACAAACACAAACAAACAAACAAACAAACAAACAAAACAACAACAAAAACTTGATATATCTTTATTGCATTTAGTTTAGAAAGATCTACTTGTAACTAGTTGCTTTTGGGAATATTTCTATGTTCAAACATAGGTAAACTTTTTTTATTAACTCAGCGTATGATCGTTTATAATTGATAAAAATTATACAAAATTCAAGATGAAATTTGTTTATAGGGTATTTTCATTTCCATTATCTTTGAAGTTAAGAAAAATAGCATGATCGATGGTTAACCAATTTGGTGATGTCTAAGCAGGTGCGGATACAGCCATTTTGAAAAGAGGGGTTCCAACCCCCAAAACACCATGAAACGTTCACATTATTAAAAAAAATCGAGGAAAAAAAGGGTGTTTTGAAGACTGTTGTTTGTCTTTTGGTGGTTTTTCGTTTTTTGCCATGGTAATGTCTATTCGACTGATCAGTTTGAATGTCCCTTTGATATCTTCCGCCTCTCTTTTAAAACAAAGTTTTTATTCTATCGCACAAAGATGGCGAATTTATCAATATTGAAGCAAAATTCTTGTGATATTTTAATTTAGGAAGGTGCACTGATTTTTAAAATCTTCTATTTTATAAACATTTTCAAATTTAATGATTTTGGTATGGACGAAAAGAAGAATTTTCAAAGAAATATGTAGTATATTTTTTTTTATTGAAGTTTGACTTAATAATTTCAAGAAAGAGGCATAGAAAATGTACCTCTCCAACAAGGTCAAGAATTATGTATTAAGCTATCTATTTAATTATGTAATATTAATATAACTGTGGTCAAGTAAGAAATGCATTAAGGTGGGGGTGATTCCAACCTTTGAGTTTAATTGTTTCATGACAGTTGTCAATCATACAGGTATTGTATCAGTACTCTTATTTGCTTTAGGGCAGAATTGGAATAATAGTAATTGAAAATAAAGAGCTGCGCCATGAGCGCATGATACGCCGGTCGCTTTTTCAACGAATAAAGTTCCATAACTCCTCAATGTCAATACGAGAAATTTATAAAAAATACTAAAGGGAGGTTACTTTAATAGATATAAACCAGTCACCAAAGTTTCATGAAAACTGCTCAAAGCACTTTTAAGTTATTTGACCGAAAACTGAAAAATCCCCCCTTGTTTATGAATAAAGTCCCATAACTCGGAAATATAAAATCTAATATCTATAAAAATCGAAAGGGAGCTTAAGTCAATAGATATAAACAATTAATCAAAGTTTCATGAAAACTGCTCAAATATAAAAATAAGACGATGTGGTATGATTGCCAATGAGACAACTCTCCACAAGAGACAAAATGACACAGAAATCAACAACTATAGGTCACCGTACGACCTACAACAATGGGTAAAACCCATACCGCAGAGTCTGCTATAAAAGGCCCGAAATGACAAATGTAAAACAAATCAAACGAGAAATAAAATTGAGAATGGAAATGGGGAATGTGTCAAAGAGACAACAACCTGAATAAAATCCCATAACTCTGAAATATAAAATCTAATATTTATAAAAATCGAAAGGGAGCTTAAGTCAATAGATATAAACAATTCACCAAAAGTTTCATGCAAATTGGTTAAAGCGTTTTTCAGTTATTGTCCGACATGTTGACGACGGACGGACAACGGTATAACATTATACGTCCCGTAAACGGGCGTATAAAAAGTGTGGGAATCCATTTTTATATCAATACACAGTTTGTGCCAAATTTCTCAAGCGAAAGATGCTTTTAAATACTTTCGTAATTCCTATCAACTGCTTGAATTTGATATCTTACATTTTCACATTAATTCATAATTTTGGTTTAGAAAGGAACTATATGCAAGTGTATATCTAAAATTTAGTAACTGTTCGACCTCTCGTTTCTTATTTTAAGAGCAAATAACATGTCAAAAGTTGGCAGTAGAGGAATCATGGCGTTTAAACTTTCTGCAAGTAATAAAACATCATTCATTTCATGATTTGTCTTTAATTCAGAATTCTGCATCTTCTTAATATCTCGAGTGATAACATAAACCAAGCATGGCTGGATCAAAAACCAATGACGTAGCATTTATTCTTTATTTCAGACTATCTTTGTAGTTTGCTGATGTTTTCTGTTTTCTCATCATTTTATTGCCATAATTCAGTTCAGCTCCTGCACTCAGATTAAGTTCTATTCCGGTACAGAATGTTGCGTCAGACGCTAAAAATAAACATGCTTGTCCAACTTCCTCTATTGTTCCTAATCGTCCCAGTAACTGAAATAAAACATAAAGTTGTCAGATAAAAATAAGAATATGTCGTATAATTACCAATGAGACAACTCTCCACCAGAGACCAAATGACATAGAAGTTAACAACTATAGGTCATCGTATACGGCCTTCAACAATGAGCAAGAGTGATGTAATAGACTTTTACTTAGAAAACTGACAATAAAAATTACAAAAAAGAACCTCAAAAAAATAAGTCAAGGGCCAGCAGACCCTGTCGGGAAGGCATGTGCATGTTACAATAATTGTATAGACAAATTTAGTGAACTTTATCCTTACGAATGATAAGAATCTGAAAATTAATGTTGGTTAATGTACCACGAAAATAATGCCAGAGTCAGGTTAACCATGTCAGGATAACCACGGCAATGATTCTATTGAACAGTATAGTTGACCTGGTACTAAAGTATGCGAGTCCTAACCACGAAAACCGAACACTGATGATCAACCAGGAAAATTTAGTCAAGTTCAGGTGAACCCTATGCATTTTTATGCATTCATTGCAAAAAAAAAAGGAGGTCAAGCTAGGACAATAGATTTATGTCAGATGTCCATTTAAGAACATTTTGCATCATCATAATCAGTGCTTCTGCTCTTTGAAATGTAAAAATGTAAATACAGTTTTACGCTGGATAAGCATGCATAATTCTTGTAAACCAGTGGTCAGATATTATTGTTTGCATTAATTAAGAGGAGTAGAATAAATGTAGATTTTGCATTTACGCCTTCATTGTTTTTAAGAAATGCAATGGAAAAAATATTGTCCTGAGTGATCCTTTCTAAGAAAAAGATTAATGGTATTTATTGCGTAAAAACCATCGCGTATAATTTCTAAGCCTTTAATTGTCAAAAAATAGTATACCTGATTGTTCGCACACATTTGTTTAGCTTCCAATGGGTTCGGAACAGATTTCAGCACATCGTCTAAAAGTGGGGTCCATATAGCTGATGGTGCTACCCTAATACCAAATAAAAGATATTTCACATAAACAAAACGTCCAGAAAGCGGCTATAAAAACCATATAATTAAATCAAAAAATATCATGTAAGGTTGCTTTATGTATGGTTTTCAGAAAAAAACATAACAACATTTTAAAAAATTTAGAAGTAATTGTTTATTAACAGTTAGCTGGTTAAACTTTTTAAACTGTCATTATTGTGCTGGTATAATTTTATGGTATTAAATACACTAATACGTATATAGCTTTGGACGAACATAAAAGTATCGTTTATCACATCGTTTGTCACGAAGGCTTGCATTCAAAGTTCCATGAAGAACAACTGTATATAAAACTTAGTTGATACCCAAACAACAGCGTAAAGAAAGAGGGGGGATGTAGAAATAGTCTTCAGGTGACTGTGCACGAACAATTTCACTAAAAAACAACAACACAGTTTTATAACCAGGAATACGGACCGTCCATTAAAACGGTAGCAATATCAAGTGCTCTGGAAGGGTCAGATTTTCTACATGGCTCCTGTTTTTTTTTTATTGTTTAAAGTTGATTTGATTGTTTGAGGTTTAATCCACCATTTTCTACATAAGGAAATGCCTGTACCAAGCCAGGAGTGTGACAGTTGTTTTCCATTCGTTTGATGTGTTTGAGCTTTTGAATTTGCCATTTGATAAGGGACTTTCCGTTTTGAATTTTCCTTGGAGTTCGGTATTTTTGTTATTTTACTTTTTGCTTAGCGTCCAGTGGCAAACATTTCAAGCATGTCCAGGACGATGTTTAAAGTTGATAATGGACCAATATTGGTATGGATTGATCCCTTAAAAATGGGAAGTATGTCTACGATCACGTTTTACTCGAAATAAAAATATACCCCACATAATGTTAAAATAATCGAATTACGGATTGTACCACCCAACCAAATGGAATTTATCCCTTTTCAACTGTCAACGTATAATCTACAATCAAAACTACTTAATAAGCCTTTACTTTCTAGAATTTGAAAAGTAGAAAGTCTTTGTTAAAGAAATATTATACTCAATTAGACATTAAGCAACAATTAAAATTATAGAGAGACAGACAACACAAAGGCCAAGGGAAAACTAAACATAAAACAAACGTCTACTATTTACTATAAAGAAAACTAAAGATGGAGCAACACTGACCCCGTCAAAACAAGGTTTAATACAATATTTTATGTTATACGCAATGTTTTATATGTATATATTGGAATGTATAATGTTATACAAGTGGTGAGACTTTAATAAAATATTGAATCTGAATCTACATGATTAAGTATCTTTGGGTCATATGATTACAAGATTTGCATAACTTATCTCGTTAGTATAAGGAATAAAAAAAATACTATTATCGATGACGATAGTCCAGTTGGGTACATCCAGACAGGAACACAATATACCCTAGGATTTATTTGTTAACACGAGGTATTGTTTTTAATATAAATATTTATTTCAGCAGCACAATTCAGCGTACTTACGAGTTGACTCGAACATTGTATTTAGCCTCATCTATCGCAAGAGCTTTTGTCATAGATGTGATTGCACCCTTTAAAATATTACAGAAATCAATAATCATTTCTTTCTCTCATTCTAACATTAATATTTTGGATTTTCTATAATGATATATCTAGTTTATGCCAGCACGGCAAACACCCGAATGTTGAACAGAAGAAAATCAAATTTTGTTTGATTAGGTATTTTTCTCTCCAGAAAATATCCTTTATCGAAATGTTACATGTATAATCTTATATTGAAGATCAGTATATTGTTAATTTTGAGTAAAAAGAACATTGCATTGTATATTTTGTTAGCTTTTCTGAATTTTGAGTCATTTATGCTCTTAACCATTGTACTTGATTTGGCTTTCCAACTGTTATGATTCAAGCGTCAATGATAAGTCTTATGCAGACGAACTGAGCGTCTGGCGTACAAAATCATAAGACTGGTATCTTTGGTGAGGTTTTAGTATGCTGTCACTATATTCATTGAACACCAGATTCTTACATCAACTAGTAGAAATGAAAATGTATCAAATTTAGCAAAATACCCCAGTTTATTCATTTAAAAAAATACTATGACATACAAAAAAAAAAGGTTGAACATTACTGTTTAGTTTGACCATTACAAATTAACTTACTTTAGTAGCTACGTATGTCACTGCCTGCTCCTGTCCGAGTTGATTCACAAGACTACTTATATTTATTATGTTTCCCTCTGTTTTGCGAAGATGTGGCAATGAATACTAAACAATGAGAAAATTAGACAATTTTTTATAACTTTAAAAAAAATATTCAGGATTTTATGGCGATGATATAAGACCAATTACATAAAACCTAAAACCTAAAACCAAGAACCTCACAGAATCATAGAAAATTAATGGCAGCGCGTACTTTGCATGCCTTGTTTTGTTTTTATCTTAAACATTATCTGGCTTTACTACTATTTGACATTTGCCATTTTCTAATGGAAACTTTGCATCACAAATTCCACCTAGATAAGACACTAGATTGCTTAGCAATGAAATTTTTAGAGCATTTGTGTACGAAATGACAACATTCCCCTTTAAATTCGTCATTTTTTTTATCTATATGAATGTCCAGGTATTCAATTTACAAAACGATATACAATACTGAATGAATATTATTAAAAGAAATACATAATGGAATTCAGAAACAAGATTTTGTATCAATCAATGTTTTCAAAATGACTTATTATATCGTTAACTAACAATAGAAACTGTAATTTTAAGTGTATTCGAAAAAAAAACCTCCAATATTATACAATTCCTGTCTTTTGATGAGACAAATGTGTGGTTTTACTGACTTTTGAAAAACTGATATTCACTGAGGCCAACGGCCGAAATGAATGTCACTAGGTTTTTCAAAATTCAATTAAACCACATATTTACCGAAACAAAAGACAGTAATTGTTTTATTCCATGTTCCGAGCGAGAAAAATATGTATAAAATAACAGTTATTTACCAAAACCAACTAAACGTCAAACATTGTATCGTTATTATACACGTAAAAGCACGCGACGTTTTGCGCGGTGAATATACTTTTTCCGCAGGTGAATATGCTTTTTTATTCAAAATCCCATTCATATAGAAAAACCTACTAAAGTTCTATCAATATGGAATAATATAAATTATTTGTTTTGGAAAGTTTTGTATGTCTATCAAAAATACGAAAAAAATGTATCAAAGTTTCTACACGTTATTGGTTTTGCACATTGATGAAGATCAATCAGTGACCTGTATTATCTGTTTTGTACATTGATGAAGATCGATCAGTGACCTGTATTATCTGTTTTGCACATTGATGAAGATCGATCAGTGACCTGTTTTATCTGTTTTGCACATTGATGAAGATCAATCAGTCACCTGTTTTATCTGTTTTGCACATTGATGAAGATCGATCAGTCACCTGTATTATCTGTTTTGCACATTGATGAAGATCGATCAGTCACCTGTATTATCAGTTTTGCACATTGATGAAGATCGATCAGTCACCTGTATTATCTGTTTTGCACATTGATGAAGATCGATCAGTCACCTGTATTATCTGTTTTGCACATTGATGAAGATCGATCAGTGACCTGTATTATCAGTTTTGCACATTGATGAAGTTCGATCAGTGACCTGTTTTATCTGTTTTGCACATTGATGAAGATCGATCGGTGACCTGTATTATCTGTTTTGCACATTGATGAAGATCGATCAGTGATCTGTATTATCTGTTTTGCACATTGATGAAGATCGATCAGTCACCTGTATTATCATTTTTGCACATTGATGAAGATCGATCAGTCACCTGTATTATCTGTTTTGCACATTGATCAAGATCGATCAGTTACCTGTATTATCAGTTTTGCACATTGATGAAGTTCGATCAGTGACCTGTTTTATCTGTTTTGCACATTGATGAAGATCGATCGGTGACCTGTATTATCTGTTTTGCACATTGATGAAGATCGATCAGTGACCTGTATTATCTGTTTTGCACATTGATGAAGATCGATCAGTGACCTGTATTATCAGTTTTACACATTGATGAAGACCGATCAGTGACCTGTAATATCTGTTTTGCACATTGATGAAGATCGATCAGTTACCTGTATTATCAGTTTTGCACATTGATGAAGATCGATTAGTGACCTGTATTACCTGTTTTGCACATTGATGAAGATCGATCAGTGACCTGTATCATCTTTCACATCTTGCTCTGTTGTCTTTGCCAGTAGTTGTCCGATTATCAATTATACCTCTTTACCTTATTTTTATATTCATGCAATCATATAACCAATTTAACCCAATCAAATTACCTTTGAGAATAGAAAGTAGTTAATGAGGTTTAAATCTAGAAGCTTTCGAAAATCTTCGGCGGAGAATTCGTCAATAGTATGCGACAGTGGGTCTAAAATAAAATTAAATATTACTGAGGCACAAAACACTACATTTTCTCTTCAAACTATTTTCAGTGATTCCATCTTTTCGGCATTTTGCGCATTTTGAAAAACATTCACAAAGCTAATTGCGTATAAATCTTTGAATTTAGTCTGTAGCAATACGATACTATGGGCAATTTCTATATCTCAATATTGTTTGTTAGAAAGCTTGAATACAGATTTAACCGAAATGACAATTAACCAATCAATTCAATCGATAGAAATCCCAAGGATTGACTGGGATATAGAAATATGGTCATCCCTTATACCTCTCCCGCCCGGATGGAATTGGGACGTTAAGGTCCGTAGGTGGCCTGTTGCAATGCAAATTTTCTGTCCTCTATCGAATATACTCTAATTTTTCGAAGGAAATCAATCCCAGACAGTTAACACATTTTTCAGAAGCTATCGTTTCATCAATGGTTAATTTGTTTTTGTTCTGAATATGCATGAACTGCCACTCGACATTAAGCAAACAACAATATATCCTGAATATGCATAACTACTTGCCACTGGACGTTAAGTAAACAACAATCAATAAATCAATTAATCTGTAAATCAATCGATACAAATGTATGTAAAAAAAATTCCACTTGTTAAAATTTGTAAACGGAGGTTCTTGGTTGGAAAAGAATATGAAATCTGAGATTATTTTATGAAAAAAACAGACGTTCTATTGTTCACGAAAACCACATACGACATTATAAGATTGATTATTGGCAATCTGTAAGGGATCTATTGACCAACATTGGTTGTTGACCTGTCGAAAAAAGCAAGTACTATAAGAATGTCACTTAAGATCTTTAAATATATATATACGGCTAAATATGTGACAACTTTACGACAGTCTTTCTCCATCAGTGCTTAAACAGGACTAACACCATAATTTATAATATATATCGTTAGCCCAATAATATTAGATCGGCAACATTCTAGTTCTTCCCTCAGCGGTTTCGAACCCCTACATTTGAGACATCGTGGCAACACCACCTGAAATGTTTCTAGCGCCCTGGACCACTCGACCAACTAAGCTATCTAAAATATAGCTTTCGGTGGTTGTTGAGTAGTGCCTTTCCTCGTCGGCTTTATCTACTGTAGGGTTGTAACACAGTACAAGATGTATAGTGGCAAGTTGATGGTATACCTTGCAGATCAGCTTTTTTTTTTTTTGCCTGTCGCAAAGGATGATAATATGATTTACAATGCCGTCACATCAAAGTTTAATTTTATTATATACGTCTAAATATATATGTGACAACTTTACGACAGACGTTGTCCGTCGGATAACCGGTGGTTATACAGGGCTAACACAATAATTCATAAATATATCGTCTCAAAGTTATCCCAACAATATTAGATCTGCAAATTGTTTTTTTCTTCCCTCAGCGAAATTCGAACCCTTGCATCTGAGACATCGTGGCAACACCGACTGCACTGTGTCCAGCGCCCATATAAGAATAGGGGAATGTGGTGTGATTAACCATTGACAAAACACGTAGGTAAATGATATTGGACAAATTGGATTTATTACCCAGAGCTCTGAAAGTCTATTTTTTAGTTTCGTACTGAAATGATAATAAAACCTACTCACTTTATATTTTAATATATTTGTCCTCACCCCTCCCCATCCAAATAAGTACGGGTTGGTGACGTATTTTTGGTAGCTTTGTTTCATTCACAATTGTCTAAACTCGGTTTAATCTTGGAATAATAAACAAACTTCTATTTTTGATGATGGTATGATGCTGACTTACAGAAGTCTTTCTTGTGATTGTTTTTATTGTTTGAATGTCCCATTGGCAATTTTTTAACACTTTTCATTGACAAATACCCATCTTTTTCTTATATTCGTTAAAGTTAAAATCCCTCTAACCTTTAAATAAATAAACCTACCCTCAGTAAAATGTGAAACGAATACCGATCATCCTCCTAAATCCAGATATTTTAGAAACATACACATTGGTTTGTTAGGTTCCATACGATGCAAAGTATTAGGACATCCTAAACTGGTTTAAATATTTTATTTCGAATACCTTATATTCAAATTATTTTTAAAGATACTTTTTTTCCAAGTACCTTATAAGAAAATTATTTTTAAAGATACTTTTTTTTTAATACCTTATATGCAAATTATTTTTGAAAATTTTTGTTTTGTTATACCTTGTATGCAAATTATTTGAATAGTTTTTTTTAAAGGAAAATAAGGGGTCAATCTTTATACTGGTACCTGTATGTAAAACAAATAAATGACCACAAAAACTCACGTGTTCCAGCGTTGTTAATCAAACAATCTATTCTACCAAACTTTTCAACTGTTTTCTCTACTATATTCTTGAAAATAAATAATAAAAAGGTTCGTAGATACATATATATAAGTATTTCCGTTAGATACCTTTTTCAATGAAATAGGAATGGAGTTTCAGGTTTTATCCTACATTCACTGACATAATATAGACTGGAACAAATAATGTCAATATATATTTTCAAACACTCGCGACAGGCTTTTACGATTAGCAACTTGGTAATTCATAGGCATCCATGGTTCTTCTTTGTTTTCTCTTTCTTGTATTTTAAAGACCATTAAAAAAACGCCAATAAAGAAATATATTGAAATTAGTCAGGTACATTCAAAATAATTTTACAGTTGTTTACAATAACATCCACTTCATTTCGTCTATGGTAGATACTTGTCTCATTTGAAACCATTCTATATTTCCTTATGTTTATATATAAACATTCATTTAGATGTACATTCTACCCTTTGTGAGCTTTCTCTGTTTATACATTACCGAAAAGAAGTATTAGCAAACCATGAAGACAACAGTTTACTTTTCTCATTCTTTCACGTGTAATTATTGCACACAATCATGCAAGCAAAGTAAAATCTGTTAAGATTATTGAATTCAATAGTCAGAGAGAGACTTATACATACACGTTCACTATAATTTAAAAAAAAAAACTGTGTGGCTAAATAAATTCTTTAAGGATGTTTGCTACTCTCTGTTTTTGACTTTTTGTCTGATATTCCAAATCCTCTAGTTTTATCCATCCAAGTAGTGCCAATAAATATTTTGCCCTCTAACCCCTACTTTTCTTTTCATTATTTTATAATATATAGTTAAAAAAACATTTTAGAAAATCTTTTTAAAATCCTTGTTATTTTTTCATAGTTTTTGAAAGAAAAAGGGTGCCAATGTTAAATTTATGAAAAATCTAGAGAGAATCATTTCCCGCCAAATTTTCAATTGATTATATCTAAAAAAAACAAGGACACGGACCTGTCATTTTTTTTTAAGTTCCGTTATTTATATATTATCAATTTATAACAGTTTTTTAAAAAGCTTGTTATTTTGAAACAGAGGAGCGAACATCCTTAAATGTTTTGTGTGTTCCCCCGTGTTCTCTGCCAATGATTAATTTTGTTACTATATTTGTGCCCACCTTGATATCTGATTCTTGTGTAACATCGCCATATATGAACAACGCTTTTCCTGGTCCATTTGAGTTTAAGTTTCTCTCCAAGTCCTGACCTTCCGTATCTACAATTCATATTCTTCGTTATATTTATCTCCAAAATATTTTGTTTGTGTCTATCGTTTATCTACATTTGAACGTGAAATAGTGGCTACCCCTAGTCACATCTATATAATCACAAAATTTCTTTATTTTGCATACCCATTAGTTACTTCTTAGTGATTTATTCGCAGATCGCTGTCTTTATTTTGTTTGTCACGGTACTACAAAAGTATCTTTTAAAAATTGGAGATTTTGAGTAACCTTTTCTACTAATTTGTTAATCTTTATTGACGACCAGTTTGGTTTTCTTGTCATTTTCTCCAGAGACACAAATGACGCTTTTCCCGGATGTTACAATCCTCAACGCACATGCAGTTATTACCTCTAAAAATAAAGACCTAATCTAAAGAAATAACGAAAGCACAGATTTACGAACACCTAATCGCAAGTTTATTCGCAAACGTACGAATTTTTTTAAATGATAGCATGGCTTTCTAATATTTTGGTTTGAGTATTCCTAATGAATGTTATTTCAGAAAAGCGCTTGTCGTTGGGACGCATGAAATTTATAAAATTGAGACCAAATGAAATAGAAGTTAGCAATATTTTTCTCTGGCAAGTACATAAATGCTGAAGATATGTTTGAGGTGGAAATACTTTTTCCTGCATACATTGATATGACACAGGTTTTTAATGGGTTTAAAATTCAAAATGTTCTGCTCTGTTGAACCATTAAAACCACATCATAATAATACATTCACCTTATCAAATGCATATATATGAGACGATCATGTCATTTTGTAAAGTTACGCTTCGCATGTTATGTGTTGTGGAGACATGCATCGCTAAACTGTTAAACTTAAAAGACAAATAAAAAAATAAAATACTACAAGCTTTAATTCATACACATTCTAAAAATAATTTCATTACAAGTGTAAATTACATTTTCTGAAGAAAAAAAGAAGGTATTTTGTTGTAACATTAGTACATTTTAAATTTGTGTTCAAATAGGCTGTTAGAAATTACTCAACGCCAATATTATAATATATGTGTACTTTACAAATTAATGCGTATGTTAATCAAAAAGTCGCCATCGAATACTCCTTAAATCAATATACAAAGAGATCCATTACTCTGCTATTTCAACAAATCTGTCATAAAAACTTGACAGGGTGCTTTCTTTCAGTATTTACTGGATAAATATGCAATAAGCCTTTTAGACAGGGAAAGTAACAGCCCCCCCCCCCCCCCACCCCCAAATAAGACTGGACTTCTCGTATCTAGTCACATATACATAGACAGCATCATAACTAAAAAGTGACAAAATAAAACAGCTTGAAAATCTTAGGCTAACGTATGCAATCCTTTTGGAGGTACAACCCCGTTTGGTGGATATTTATAGAATTTACGCACCTAGTCACAATAACATGAATAACACATGTTACGATATATAATTTAGCCGATTCCGAAAGTAAAGTCCTGTCTAAGATTAGGAAGACACCGGCTTGATTTACTATGTGTGCATTATGATGCATACCACTGAAATGCCATATGTGCAGTTAAAATGTGTACCATGTATTTATATTAAGTATCATCATAAAGATTACCGGCGTTTTGTTTTGCCATATTCAACTCTTCTAGCTATGATACTATAATCTAATATTACCAGACAAGTACATATTAACATGTTTTATTATACGAACCGTCATTCGAACAGAAGACGACTTTTGCACCATTCTCAACTGTAAAATCAAATAGGTTTAAATTACAAGTGGGATGTATTACTTTTACATAGAGTTATGAAACTGTACACACAAAATCATATAGTATTGTTTAATAGTTTTAAATGTAAAATTTGTAGAGCTTACCGAATACATCTACACATCCTTTACCAATACCTCTTGATCCGCCTGTGATTAATGCAACTTTTTCCTTATATCGCAGACTTGTCATTCTTTATTTAGTAAATATTATACGATGTAAACTCACATGTATATTGATTTATAGACATACACAGCACGCATATAAAACACACATCTTACAGGTAACTTCTTATCTTTTTATTATTTTTGTGATGTATCATGTATGCCATCAACCCCAATGGGGTATAATTGTGCATTATTTCAATAATATAATAATAATAATAATAAAAACTTTATTTAAAGAGGGTAAAATCAATTAGTACAATACTTATCTCCCCTAATGCCCTCTGAATAACTCAAAATATAATAATATAATATATAAACAAGTCTAAATTGAAAACAACGTTCAAACCTATGATTGCGTTGGATAAAAACCGCAATTTTTATACGTGTGCATGCAAAACATATTTCTTGGTAGAGGGGTCTAAATACAGCACAAACAACATTTTCCAAAAGATAAAAAAATTGAAAAAGTATATTTTAAGAAAACGCACTTGACTAGCAGGTCGAACAACGGATGTTCTTAAACCCGGCTGACTGCCATGGCGATTGCCAAATAAACGGATCACCAGATGTAACAAAATGGATCTTAATTTCTAATTTAATGCCAAACAGAAAACAATAAACTTGCGGAAAAGATGGTATACCGCAAACAAAAGGTGCAAAAATTAGTACACCATATGCGGATTTCGACAATTAATGTCTCTTCAGTGATGTAAGGAATCGAAACGGTATTTGGAAGGCCATATAATTTACCTCAATTTTGGATAGACTCTTGAATTTTGAAGAGTCGAAATAGGATGAACGGATCATATAAACCTGAAGGCAAATATAATACAAGCCCAAAAAAAAAGATATAAACAAGTCTAAATTGAAAACAACGTTCAAACCTATGATTGTGTTGGATAAAAACCGCAATTTTTATACGTGTGCATGCAAAACAAATTTCTTGGTAGAGGGGTCTAAATACAGCACAAACAACATTTTCCAAAAGACCAAAAAAGTGAAAAAGTATATTTTAACAAAACGCATTTAACTAGCAGGTCGAACAACGGATGTTATTAAACCCTGCTGACTGCCATTGGCGATTGCCAAATAAACGGATCACCAGATGTAACAAATGGATCTTAATTATTAATTTAATACCAAACAGAATACAATAAGCTGGCGGAAAAGATGGTATAACGCAAACGAAAGGTGCAAAAATTAGTACACCATATCCGGATTTCGACAATTAATGTCTCTTTAGTGATGTAAGGAATCGAAACGGTATTTGGAAGGCCATATAATTTACCTCAATTTTGGATAGACTCTTGAATTTTGAAGAGTCGAAATAGGATGAACGGATCATATAAACCCGAAGGCAAATATAATACAAGCCCAAACGAAAAAATATAAACAAGTCTAAATTGAAAACAACGTTTATATAGATTAGACCGTTGGTTTTTCCGTTTGAATGGTTTTACAGTAGTAATTTTTGGTGCCCTTTTTAGCTTGCTGTTCGGTGTGAGCCAAGGCTCCGTGTTGAAGACCGTACTTTGACCTATAATGGTTTACTTTTATACATTTTGACTTGGATGGAGAGTTGTCTCATTGGCACTCATACCACATCTTCTTATATCTATTCAAACATATGATTGCGTTGGATAAAAACCGCAATTTTTATACGTGTGCATGCAAAACAAATTTCTTGGTAGAGGGGTCTAAATACAGCACAAACAACCGCCAAATAAACGGATCACCAGATGTAACAAATGGATCTTAATTATAAATTTAATACCAAACAGAAAACAATAAACTTGCGGAAAAGATGGTATACCGCAAACAAAAGGTGCAAAAATTAGTACACCAATATTACATACACATACATACAGCTTTTTTTGCAAAACAAATGGTGAAAAACATACAGATTCGTTTCATGAACATATTGTCTTAATGATGTACAAGACAAATATATGGTTTTTTTTTAAATATAGATAAATTTCTGTGATTATTATTATTTGGTTGGTTTTACATGTTTGTTTATGAATCTGATAATTAGCCTTTTTGTTCTAGAAACAAGAATTATGATACCTTTGTTTGAACTGTTCTATCTTTTTTATTTCTACAGGAATACTGTTCCAAAGAACAGTACCTGAATATTGAAATGTCTTTTTCATAAAATTTGTTCTCTGACGTGGTATGAAAAGACAATTATTGTCTGATGAACGCAAAGAATATCTTGCATTGGCATTTTGGTTATTGTTAAATAATTGACACAGATAATCAGGTGCAATACTATTTACACACTTATACATTAATACTCCTTTGTGATATAGGATTCTTTTTTGAAAAGTTAACCATCCTAATTGTTTGAATAAAGTTTTTGACGGTGTATCATATGCTTTGTTAAGAATGATTCTGGCTGCCCTTTTTTTGTAAAAATTTTGGCTGCCCTTTTTTTGTAAAAATTTTAACATTTTTTCCATATTTGAATTACTCGTTTCTGTCCATATTGTACAGCAATTATCAAAGAGAGGAAGTACATATCCATTATAAAATTAACATAAACCTTTTTGTGGAATATAATGCTTCAATCGATTTAGTAAACCTAGTCTAGTTGAAATTACACAGTACATACTTTGTTTATTTGTTGATTCCATGAAAGACAATCATCGATTAAAATGCCAAATAATTTTTCACTGTTTACATTTTGTAAAAGAATTCCACTGTATTCTATCTTCAATGTTTCTTGTATGCTTTGAAGCTTCCTATGTGATCCAACCAACATAGATTTGGATTTTTTAATATTTAAAATTATATCATTATTTTCACACCATATTTTATAAAGTTGCTATTTCGTCAATAAACATAATAGATATAATCAGACTGATATATCCAGTCGAAATAAAAGAACAGAGTTCCGATGTCCCCCGCGTTGCACGGCATATTTTATCTATCCAAGGTACAAGGGCAATAACTAAAAAAACCCGCTTTTTTAACTTTAAAACTGTTATAGAGAAATGAAGGCTTCAGAGCAAATAGAATGCGATTTCTGTTATAATTATTATTTCCAAGGGGCATAACTCGTTAAAAAGAATATTTGACCAGCACTTATTTTCAAACGTGTCAAAGACATTGCTGATATAAACATATGATATAAATTTCATAAAATTCTGGCAAGAATTGTACACATAAGAGCGCTAACAATGCAATTTTCCGTATAATTAATGTTTCGAAGGGTCATAACTCTTTTAAAAATAATTGATCGGCACTGTTTTTCGAACTCGTCCAAGCCGTTGCTGATATAAACATATGATATAAGTTTCATAAAATTCTGGCAAGAATTGTACACATGAGAGTGCTAACGATGCAATTTTCCATATAACTAATCATGCTTCTAAGGGACATAGTTCTTTTATAAATAATTGATAGGCACTGTTTTTCGAACTCGTCCAAGCCATTGCTGATATAAACCTATGATATAAGTTTCATAAAGATCTGACAAGAATTGTACACGTGAGAGCGCTAACAAGACCGGACGGACGGACGGACGCCCGCTATTTCTATGTCCCCCGCAACGCGTTGCGCGGGGACAATTAAATAAAAGAAATGGAACTCTTTATTACAATGTAGAGAAAGTAAAAATTGCCAAGTTTGTTTGAATATTTGAATTGTTTACATCTGTTTCTATGGGCCTTAAAAATTTAATGTAAGTGCATAATTAAGGATTTTTTGTATCTGATATATACGTGTTCATACTTAAAATATAGTATGGAGCTTCGAGATATTTGTAAACTTTTAATTTTAAGACAATCTTCACAAAAAAGTCGATTTTGATTGGTGCAAATACATGTCAATTCCGCCGAAAATAATTCTACAGAAAGATAAAAGATTGATCATTTATTTGCATCAACAGTTTTTTTGGGAAACAATTCTAAAAATAGGCAATCATCTCATCGAAAAGAGAAGAGGTAAACCTTTGAGTTGACTGTTTAGTCTAAATTTCAAAAAATATTTGATACATCATCTAGCTTCAGATTTAATTATTTTGACATATTTAGACTACATGTTGATTTATTAATATTAAAAATTCACTGTACCAAGAAATGGAGTATATGGGTCAAGTGAAATACCTTTCTAATGAGTCATAACAACAAAGAAGTTGTGTTTGAATAACAAACAATAAAAGTTTCCTGCTACCAAAAACGTTAAAGTTTGAGGTGTATTTCTTACTTGTATTGTATTTTATTTTTCGTTCACTCATTTTCGATAACAATTTTGGCATATTTTAATATTTCAAAGTTTTGCAAAATTTGTGTTTGTTATCAGGAAAAAAAAACTATGATAAAGACTAAATTTATGATTGAGTCGTTGTTTAATTTTTTGGGGGACTATTTACATTTATTCTGTGCAACTTAAAAAAACACGAGAAAATGCCAAAAACCCTACAAACGTATATAATACGTATGCAACGATCCAGATTTTTACCAATCTCTGAGGAAATTTTGCAAATTGTGTACTATATAATGTTTTCAAACCCTTTACATCATATGCTATGTTGTGAAAGGAGTACATTGTTTTGTTACGTATTATGTCTGGAAAACGATTTTTTTGTGTGTTACTTTTTCTTTTTGCAGTGTTTTGGTTTTTTCATTCTTTTTAAGAAAACGTCAATGAGACAGCAAGCCAACTACAGAAATAACCGAAAGACATCTAGAGGGAGACGTTTATTCTTCAACAATAGACAGGTGTCCTATCAATATGTCTTATAAGTGCTATCAGATTTGTATATTATTTTTATCAGCCAGCAGTGTACACGGATAGTGAAGTGTATATATATAATAGAAGGAGAATCAGATGTTGGTTATACGTCAATGGAACAGCCCAACGACAGAAATAACAAAAATAAACATCTTGATGCAGACATATAGTCTTCGACAAATGAACAGGTGACCATGCAATATGTCTCTCTCTTAATTGTCTCGATTCCATGAAGGAGATATACAAACTCAACAGAAACAATCAAAGATCTGCTATTAACACTCAATTCTATAAATAAAGGGGTGGGGCATTACGATATCACATACGACCACTAACGACAATGTTCCTGATGTGGAACACACATACG